CCATCATAGTTGAAGTGGGTAAGCCAGCACGCTGGCTGCCATTGTCCCCTTACCAGCAGCCCAAATGCTCACGACGATGAGCTGGGCTGTCACCGCTTGGCCGCTGGTGGGGGGTTTGGGAGGCCGCATCGCACACAGACACCCACACACTCCCTCAACTTCCACGAACACACACATACGCAGACTCGTTTCCACACGGACATAGACACACGCACAGAAACCCACACACTACCTCAACTCACTTGACTTAACACTTCTCACTACACACTTACCGGATAACTCGCACTCTGATTTCCTACGTGATGAAAAATGCTTTCGGGCCACTCGTCGTCTAGTTGTTGGTTTCGATTTGGAGACTTTGCCCGCACAGTGTGCAGAAGTGCAGAAGAGAAATCTAACTCTTTTCTTGGAGGAAGCTTGTCTTCCTGGGTGGCCATGTGATGGCCATGTCCAGAGATCTCCAGGGCCGTACCGGACTCCCACGGGCACCGATTTCCAATCGCTGGCGTTTCCGCACGCAGGTGTGTGCCCTACCGGGTGTTGCACAGCCGGGCCAGCAGGGTGCAGCTGCGTGCCTTGGGTGTGGTGAGGGGAGTTGGATGCTGGGCTTTCTCAAAGCATTTCTGTGGTCCAACCGTGAGTCTCCAGAATACCCGGCGAATGGCAACCCCACAGCGGACTTTAACTTGATGGAAGACACTGTGAGAGGTCTAGAAAGACATGAAGAAATCACCTCTTGTGTGAAGATATGTAAGCATGTTGAGGGCTTGTTTCAGTAGTATCGACTTCGCACCTCGTCCACAGCCCTCTTTGGGTGTCCAATGAGGCACATCTTCGTGTCGATTGGAGAGGGTGCCGCACGTCCAGCTGCTGCCAGGTGAGACACCGTAAGGGGCACCGTGGGACGGGGCACCTTACGGGGCGGACGGACATCGACCATGGCGCGGACGGACATCGACCATGGCGCCCCCGGTACCGGAGCAAAGTCCCATGATCTCTTTCTGGAGGTTCCTAGGTCCTGTAAGATCCTATAAGCATAGTAGGAGTTGTCCAGAACTCCGAAAGATTCGCCCCCAGCGGTGTCCGAAGCGTATCCCATAGGACTGGGGGTTTTTGATTAAGTTCGGTCTCCTGTGGGGTGCAAGGCGAGAAAAGACACACCACTCAATGGTCAGGTCGACGACAACTGGTTCAAGCTGTTTCACATTCCCCAAGGATCCACAAGCCCAGCCCTGGACCAAAGAAGAAGACCTTTTCCAGGATCCTTCTGCCGCGACACCTCGCGACATCTCACGCGCCATTTGTTTGCCCCAACGCATCCTTATTGCCCACACTCGGGGAAATCGCTTTGATCACTTGGCCTTCGGCCGTCTGACCTCGGCAGTCAAGTCCTTTGGACACCCCTCCGTGTTCGCATCCAGGCTCCTGGCGCGCGCACGTGCGGTGCTGCCGCCCTCCGCTGCGTTGCATCTCCTCAGCAAACCGCTGCCCAAGGCGGGTGTGTGGTCTTCGGGGTGCGGTCGACACGATGGAGTGCGGCCCTGATTGTTTGGGGTGGTGCCAAAACCCACTGGAAGGAACGCCCACGAACAAGAAGAAGACCACCTCCATGGATTTGTGATGGTTTATGGGTTTTCAAGGTCCATTCCAAAGCACGAAGGCCCTCAGTGGGACCACCTGGCACATCCGGCTGGTGGCTTTGCTGTCTAGGATCCAGTGTCTGGCAAAGTGGATCGCCACAGCCTGCTGCAAGGCGCAGCAAGGGGGGAAACACAGAGGGGGTGGCACGGCTGAGGGATGCAGGAGTTGGCCCCAAAGAAGTCTTTTGGGATTTGCATGTTCAGTACCAGCACCTTCAAAGGGGTCACCAATGGAAGCCCCTACACCACTAAGGGACCTCCATTCATTGGACACCCCTTGAAGGTCCAGGTATGTTCTCTGTTTCTTTTGGGCCATGGCCACTTCATTCAATGCACAAACAACTTGTGCTTTGATGGTGCCAAGAGCCTTTCTGCAAGCACGGAGCCTTTCGCCCGTTGAGAGCATCCTGGCGCACATCTCTTCATGGAGTCAGTTTCTTCTTCTCCACCTCAGAAGCTATGCGACTATGTGGCTGTGTAGCTCAAACAGGGAGCCCTCCCAAGGCGTTCCGACCCCCCTTGAATCGTTGGGACACATAGACCCCCATCTATTCCTCCTTCAAAACCCCACCTGGCGCTCTCTCTCTTTTTCGGGTGTCTCCCCCCACCCGATGATGGAAGCCAGACCCTCTCAGATCCTCACCAGACCCTCACCAGACCCATGAGGGGTCCTCCCGGGCAGGCGTGAGCGTGACTCCGCCCGCGCGCGCCGTATGGCCGGCCCTGTGGACCAGGCGCGGCCGGCGGCCGTTCAGGGTGGGGGGGGGTGTTGTGGTGACGTTGGAATCTTCCCGGAACGTTTGGGAATAGATGGGAAGTTAGGATGAAGAACACTTGGGGGTTCATGATCTCTTCGATCCGCAGATGTTTTTCTGGTTGAGGAATTGGGGTTCCGATGCACAGACCGAGACTGCACATCTAGACGTGTAGCACCATGCAGACCTTGATAGGTTCAAGCCACAAGGGCCATGGCTCTTGGTCTTTGCCTTGGCGGGCGCAGTGAACCTGTCCTCCTGGCGGCTTGGAGCTGGAGCGGGAGGGGAAGGACATCCTTCACTTTGGACACACCCATTGGTTGCCTTTGCGTGATGGAAAGACAACAACATGAGAATCTTTAGAGCCTATAGATGCACAGCTGAATGGCGGATGAACAAGAAGGTCCAACTGGTCTTCTCGTTTGTGGTTGGAATTGCAGGATCCCCTTCACATTGAAACGGACCCAGTTGACCCAGTTGACCCCGATGAACACCACCACTCCCACCACCACTACTGCTCCTGCTACTGCTACTCTTGCTACTACTGCTGCTACTGCTACTACTGCTACTACTGCTACTACTAATAAAAATACTATGAACCCTAGCCTAGGGCCTACGATAGGCCTATGGCCCTTTCGTAGCGATGCATTCTTTGTGGAACTGAGGCTTCGATCGGGCCGGGCTTCAAGGCGTGCCCACGGCACGCAAGCAAGACATGGGTGAAGAGGAGGATACAATGAGACCCAGTCAAAGTAGATTTTGTAGAGACTGTAGAGGAACATTCAGTCATCAATGTGATCAGAATCAGGATCCATCCATGGACTTCTCAGTATGGAACACCCATGGAAAAGATTGCCATTTTCACCAACTGCCATGAACCATTCCCACTGTTTTGGAACTCCTTTCCAGGCCGAGCTGGAAGAATTTGCTCCAGTTTCTACTGCATGTGGCCGCGGCACTTGCCTGAGCTCTTCCGAGAGAAACTTCTTCTGTGTGTGAGGGTCTTGCCATGAAGCTGGAGAGCCACGGGCAGGGTTGTGCTCAGCACACGATAGGACGCACCTGGTGGAGGAAGACCTTTTTTCAATTTTCAACTCCTATTTGTTTCCTCGGAGCACCGGGTGCAGCAAGCGAAACCTGGCGTTGGATGAGTTGGATTTTCAGCTGGGCCTCAGCCTCCAAACCCCCACCAGCTGTCCAAATGATCTAGGAACCAAATAAAGAGCGCGAGCTATCCTGCACCCTAGCTGGTAGCAGGTTACCTAGTATTTTGTTTAGCCCGTACTTGATTAAGTAGGCGCCGACTTAGTTAAGTAAGGGCAGGCTTAAACAAATAGACATGTTGTTTGTCGCCACTTTCAAAGGTTGTCGTCTCGACCAAATGCCCCTTTCGGGCTTATCGGTTGACACTTTCGGGAAGATGTGCCAGCTTTTGCCCAGGTCCCGTACATGTGGCTATTCTCCTTTCACATCCCGATTCATATTTGCAGGCGTCGGAAAGGGCCAGCTGCTTGAACAAGGTTGAGATTGTGTACTGGTAGTTTTCAACAATTGTTTCTTGAAATTGAATGAAATATATACACAGATGGGTCGGTGTATATCACAATCTTTGGACTGACCATCCATTGTCCCACCCAGGGTGTCGCTGAGAGGCTCATATACTCGGTTCACACGTGGAACCTGCGCCATGTTGTGCACGTTGCGCATCCTGACAGTGTCCTTCTTTTCACTCTATAGGTCCATCGTCCAAGGCGGTTGCTTCTGCTTCTTCAATTTGCCTTGCAAGAAGAGCTGCCTTAAGTTCATAGCGGCTCTCTGGGCCGATGTTCAACCGATTTCAAGAGATGCAACCTGCTGACAACACACACAAAACGAAAACGAAACAACCAGATGTATATATGTCTTGCTTTTCTTATGCTTTCTTGCTTGCGCAGCACTTCGGCAGGTCTTTCATCAACTACGTGCCCTTTGGCCGCTTGGGGGTGTCACTTGGACGACCGAGACGGTCCGCGCGACGGTCGTCGCGCGCGAGGCTACCGGTCGACCCGGTGGGAGCCTTGACCAAGTGGATGGAGCTGTGTTTGGAAGGCTGGAAAGAACGTTTTTCATCCAAGTGCTATTGAAAAAGCCACACAAGAGCTCTCTGAGTGGAATTCGAGCCTTCCACCATGTTGGCATGTTCGGTTTGCCAGACGGCATGGGCCAGGCTTTTCTTCGGCTACTTGTTCAGCTACTGAAGCGACAACAAACTACATGTAGAAGATGTAGACTCTCCCTTATATAGAGGGCGTCTCTGGAGTTCTTCCTCACGAAAGAAGCGCCCTCAAACCCTCAATCCAAGTTGTTCATCAAGTGGGGTCTGTCCTGCAAGGTTGATGGTTGGGATTGTTTGAAGTTTGCTGAGCTAGATCTTGGCACTTAAAGCCTTCTATGACCACCGGAGTTTTGTAAGTCCGAGAAACGCCTCCAAGTGCAGGTCGACTTCGGACTGCATGTCAGAAGGTAGCGCTGTCTCCATGTGCTGAGCTATACTGAAAGAAGCTTTCCTAAAAGCGCTTGGAACCTGCGCAGTTGCCTTTGGAACTGACCCGGGCCCAGTGTCCCGAGGCTTTGCATTTCCTATCACCTGGCCCGATCCAGAGGCGGCGGCCTCAAGGGACCGCCCTGACGGCCGTGGGCATCCGGGAGAGACCTGACGGCCAGGACGGCCTCTTGACGCGCCCGGAAAAGCCATGGCAAAAGCCACCTGCAGGGTTTTTGGACGGAGGCCCACGAAAAAGACACCGAAAGCACATATCCTGGAATCGGTTTTTGACGTTGTCTTTTTTTTTTGGGTAGCTCCGAACATGCCTCCCCATTCGGAAGTTGATGCCATCATTTTTCCATCTTAAATGAGTTTTATTGAGTTTTCTTGGGGGTGTTGTCCCTCCACATGTTCCGGTCCTTTCCATCTAATTTCATCTCCTTGAGTTACACCGGTCATTCGCTTTGGGATTCGCCCGACTCTCCCTTCAGGACCGGGAACCCAGTGCACCACCCACCCCACGCGGTGGCTGCCCCGTCCGCCGCTGCGAGGCCTCGGCGCTTGGTTGGCGCGGCTGAGCTTGGGAGCCACGACAGCGCTGGGCGCTGCGAGCTTGAGGCAGTGGTGGAGCGGAAGTGGTGGAAACCCATGAGCTGTCATGGGACGGTCCCCATGATGCCATGACAAAGGGAGTTGTGAGTTATGGTTATGGAATTTAGAAGTTAATGATAAGTATAAGAAGGTCCATTTTGACTAACCTCTTCTGGGTGTGGATGAGGGGTGAAGGGAATTCATGAACAGTCTTTCGGTGGGAGTTCATGAAGCATCAGGCTGTCGCTGTCGTTCTGATCCTGGGACAATTCCGGGGCGGAACTGAGATTTACTTGCATATCTTGCATCATTTCAACAGCAACGCACAACACATACGAGCCATCAAAACGTGCAACACATCCCACCCACCACTGCACCAAATCCGTCGAAAGCACACCAACCAATTGGTGCTGCTGGGCCCCGCCCGGTGGAGGCGTGAGCACATGCTCTCGTGGTGGTTGGTCTTCTGGTTGGCGATCCCAGAGCAGGCGCAGGCCGATGGGACCCGGCAGAAACTTGACAGAGGGCGAGGAAAGGAGCTGGGGCCGATGAACCAGTCGATGAACCATTCGATGAGACGTCGCTTCTCGTTGGATTCGGTGGGACTTCTTTTGCGAAAGCTTTCGGGTCTGGCACTCCACAAAAGGGTGGGAGATGTGGGAGAGGGATGGGGTTCCACAGCTGGTTCCTTGATGCGCTGGTTCCTGTCCTTCCTCTCCAGGTTGAATGTGGTTGGTGGCTCACCTCCAGCGGGTGGAAATGGTACTTGGCCGGGTGCCCCGAGGGCTTTGGAAAAGGACGGGCTTTGGTGAGTGGGAAAGGACGCTTTGCGGGTGAACCTGAAAGTGATGGGAATATGTCTGGGACTGACAGAACTCTGCAGAAAGGTCGAAGCTTTCAACCAAACAGCAGTAGTCGAGACGGGCTTTTGTTCTGCTTCAAATCCGTTGGTTCGACAGAGCGAGCGACGGAGCGACAGGTCGTGCGTTGTAATTGCGTCGTCGTTGGAACGACCTCGGAACGACCAGGTCGTTGCCACCCTGCTTTCAAAAGCACAGATGAGGCAACGACTTACACATCTTCGCGCCTCCAGCGCTGAGCTTTCAGGGTCCACATTTCAACCACAAGGGAATCAAAGAATAGCCAGTTGAAGGTTGAAGGAGTACATTTCAACGCTGGGTCTTCCAGTTCCTCCGTGCTTTTTGTGCCTCTGAGTACACACCTACACGTGATTCCTGGAAGTCCCACGAAGTCCCCCTCTTTTCGGGGCTATGCTATTGCTCTCACTCCTTGGGTCCTTAGCCAGCCGTGGAAGTGGATGGATCTTGATCCAGCAGCGGTGGAACAGATGGAACGCTCCTCTTTTTGCCCCCAAAAAAGAGAAAGAGCCTGCGAGGTCCTTCCCCCAAAACCAAACCACTCGCAAGCCCTCTGGGGTCAACCTCAGCATCGGTTCGCGGTTCGTGTGGGATTGGTCTAATCACCGAAATCGCCCTCGTCTCGCTTCGACCGCGTCGAGACCGCGGCCTTCCCGCTTCTCGCTTCGACCGCGTGCCGCGTCGAAGCGTCGTTGGAACGCGTCGGATTGAGGAAGAGATCCAGTCGACCCTCATGGATTTTCGCGGGAGGCGGTTTCGCATGTGAGTTGCCATGCTGGTCATGGGAATGGGCTCAATGGATCCCGAATGGACGAGTTAAGCGCTGCAAAGCACTGCAGAACTTGGGGGTGATTGGACATATAACTTAACTATCACTTTTTCAAGAGACTGACTCAGTCACCCACTCGTCGTCACCAGCAAGACTTGGCTGCATCTCAGAACGCATCTCAGAACGCATCGCTTGGAGGAGTGAGTCCTGGGCCGACCGCATCCTTGAGGCCAGCAGCGCATTTCTATTATTATTATTGTTATTGTTATTACTATTTTTAAGTTTGGGAGACTAATATTTACTATCAATATATGACGTCACAACAACCTAGTCACCAGTGTTTGTTGTCTCTTTTCGATTGCTTGAGTGCAGCTGTCAGGAATGATCACCCATCTGATTTGACTGACCTGCAACTACATTTTAAGCTTAGGTGAAAGAGGGGGGTCTAGACTTCAAACCATTCACCGTGTGATACTGGTGGCCCGGCGTGTGGCTTTACAAAGTTTCAAGGAACTTGATGTCCTCCTCGTCCCGCCGCCACGGGATGGTGCAAAGGCATTGCTCTCTGCACCGCGCGTGGTGCGGGAGCAGCTTCAACGTGGCTTTGGCGAAGAGAGTCCGCAGTGGGATCACAAAATCAACAAACGCTACGGCGATGGCACCGAAGACATCAGGTGCACCCCAAAAAAGGGAAGATGAACCATAACTTGCAGATGTTCCCTTGCAGAGTCTTGGTCTTTGAAGCCACGCCTACATTTAAATCAGCGGATCATCAACACATATAAGTTATACATCAAAACAACCAGGTTTTGGCATGTTTTGGCCTCCTTCCCTTCCCGACATTGGTTGGGCCACAGGTTTTTTCACCAGGCAACACGGGCCCCCACCCTTTCCCCCTTCGATGGCCAAGCGCCGGGCAAGCGGGGCATTCCTGGAAGATCGAAGTCTGGGGCGAACGGCGAACGGCTTCTGTTTCGGCCAACCAAGTGAGTATAGGTTGGTTGGTAAATAGGTGGTTTTTTCAGCTTGGTTGAATCCTTTTTGGGGCTGTTTGCCACCCGGCTGTTACGTTGGTGCACGTGTTACACGTTCATTCGGATGGATCGGTCAGTCTGTCCCCACTGGCCCAGAAGCTCAAGCTCCAGTTGGGAGGCCGAACAAGCCCATCCCAGACCCACCCCACCTCATCCCTCGTCATCCGAGCGTTTGGGTTGGATCTAAGGCCTTCAACAGCAGCGGCTGCCCTACAAGCCTCCGGAGGAGCTGCGGGAGCTGGAAGAGGCGGACCTGGTGATGGATGAGGCAGATGAGGCGGAGTTGGGGGGGGTTTGGGGAAACCCTACTGGGTGGAAGATGGTGGAAGCTCTTTGGAAAGGGTGGGTTGGGGAAACTCTGTTGGTTGGAAGCCTCAACCCCAACAACCTTCCAGCGCTATTGACCAAAGGCCCCTCCGAGGCGACCACAGCATCAACTGCGGAGACACCGCAAAGAAGCCACGAGAGTTACCGTCCTCCTCCTGCGTTCCCCCTTGTTGCAGACAACGTGGACCACAATATTCCGCTACAACGCCAGCGCTTTTGAGAGTCCATGTGGTCCTCTGCAGGAGGATCCTTTGCTCCCATCTTTGGCCTCTGCAGGCAGCTGCACTGGTGGAGCCGGAGTTCGAGCCTGTCGAGCAGGCGGGATGGGGTGCTCAAGCAGGTGCTCAAATCTGGAGATGGTCGTTTTCGATGAGAGGAGGAGAGTGGAAACCGGGCCATGCATGCTGGGCCACCATTTTCCTTCTCATCGTTACTAGCGTAATATACCTTGCCACTAGTAGCGATGCCCGGGTTCCTAGCAGCGATGCTCGGAGCGCCCCTAGTAGCTTCTTGTTCTGCCACTGAAAGCCAAGCTTTGAGCGAAGACGACCGGACGCCCGAGAACGACTCGGCGAAGCAGCGGTCCTTTTACCCAAAAACGCCCGAACCCAACGCAGTGGGTGGTCATGCCGCTGCAAGTGCGAAAACGCGATCACGCATCCCCTTTGGTCCCGGGGAGTTATTGGAAGATCGTCCATTTCCGGAGCCGCCGAAAAGACCGATCTACCTGAAGCTCCGTCCGGATGTCCTTCGAAAACTAGAAATGGAGCGCGAAAGGGGAAGGAAGGCACCCGGGAACGCGGAGGAATGGTCCGCTGCTGCAGCTGCCCGAACCAGCGAGACGCAGAGGGCCAGACGGAGGTGAACGCACTTTCCTGAGACCTTTGGACGATGGGCGCCCCTTTTTGTTGCAGTTCTTTGCGCCTTGCGGCGCGAAAAGAACAAGGGACCTCACCCCAAAAGATAGAACCTGATGCTGACCTCTGGAAGCAGTCACAGTTGAACACTAACAGACTGACAGTCAAAAAAAGAAGCTACTTTTCGGTTGCACCCAAAAAGGTCGGCAGCACCATTGAGGAAGGAGCCCCCAAAGAGCGAAGGGTGTCCCGTGGCGGACGTGCTGGTGCCACGACTCCACGACCTCGACCGGATGCAGGTCTGTGATGCGGACGGGCCCACAGGTCCGGATCGGGAGAAGGGGTGAGAGGAAGATCAGTCTGGGTCCACACTTCCAGGCATTTTGTTGGGCATGAGAGATGGATGGACCTGACTCCCTTGAGTGCTTTGAGACACTTTTGCCTGCAAGCTGCTGGTGGAACGTTTTCGGGCCTCTCCAAGGTTTTCGAAGGGCAGGGGGCTGGAACCAATGGGCTGGTCTCTTTGGAGGTGCCTTTGTGCTGAATCAACTATCCACCTTTGTCAAAATCATTGTGACTCCGCTCCTTCATTGAATTCTCCGCACATGAATGAGCGGCTCGCGGTTTGCGGTTCTGGCACCAAAGAAATTCTGGCACCGCAACAAACATTCAACAACCATGGAAGCGGACAGACTCAAGTTTGAAAAGGCAGATGGTCTTCCAGGGCTTGGAGGGAGGGTACGCTCTTCCCCCCCAGGTGTGCCAGAGCTTCAGCCAGCTGCATCTCTGGTGCCTGAAGCTGCAGAAGACGCGGTGCCCGTGCCAGAGGCGGCGTTGGGCCCTGCGCGTGGCCCTGTGCGTGGCCCGGCGATTTTCGGGCGCATCCCAAAAGAAGATTCAGAAGGATTGAAGTTAGGGCATGCAAATCTATGGTAGTACCATATGTAGTACCCAAATCGATTTTCAAGTTCAGCAAGAGTTTTTGTTCCTCTTCTCGCAAGAAGCAAGAGGTCAATCTCTGGCCTTTGCCGGGTCCAACGGAACGAGTTGGCCAACATCCGCCCATCAGCACGTCATAGCACGTGAGCACATCATGATGCTGCGTCGACCCTGCGTCCGTTGACCATGAGATCACTTTGGCTTCGGCGTTATCCATCGGTCTTCGGCCAAGCGTGACTATTATAATCTAAGGCATCATTCATTTTATAGAGATTTGCATGAGTGTCGCTGAGTATCCTATTACCTATTTTGCTCACCCTCGCCATTCTCGTCTGTTACTGCACCACCATCTCCTTGATCCTTCTCGGAAGGCGGAGGCAGCAGTGCCTGCAGCGCAACCCGAGGTGGAGACCTTCACACCTCAGTGGACGCGTGGCTGGCAGGGGCTGTTATGGGCTGTTGGCGACGACGCAGCGCTGCTGTTGTTGATGTGTTTTTCGTTGAGGATGGGACCATCATCACCCGACTCTTCTATAGTATACATTCTGGAATTGGAGTGCGTGCCGCAGTGACCGGCCCCCCAAATGGTCGAGGGAAGTCCAGGTGGGTGAAGGGGAGCGTGAGACGTTTCAGCTTCGAATGCCAACTTGGGCGTTTACCCAGGCTTGATCGAGTCTTGTAGACTCGTCATCCACTCGTCATCGACGCGTCAAGCCGGGCAACTGCTACAGGTCCTGTGTGGAGTGCCAGTGCCCACTCCCCTGGGGCTCGGATTGGCGACAAGAGGCCAAGAACTTCTACTGCAAGTCCTGTCACCGAAGCTTCGATGACCGGTGGTGGGAGTTCCACACGCGCGACGTCATTGAGCCTGAAGTCCCTGACGCCGACGATGACGACGATGACGACGGGAACGATCACGCGGAGGGCGCCGATGGGGCGGGTGACCCCGCGGTGGCGAAGACCGCGGCAGGCCCGGTGTCATCGAAATGGCTCATTTCTGGAAGTTCAAAATACCATATATTACATATTATCATATATGTTGACCAGCTGCGGTGACGGACGTGTCTTTTTCGGGTCACCTAAAGACAATTCTTTTTATCAACTGCTAAGAGGAGTTAGTTGGAGTTGGTCAGCGAGAGGGATCAACTAGGATCAACTCAGAGATGGCCCAGTGGCTGGCCTCCTCGTGCACGCCATGACCCCGCTCGAAGCAACCCCCTCCCCCTTCGCCCGCCGCTCGCGATGGGTCGGTGGCTCGGAGGACGCATCCTGCTGCAGCTTCTGTCCAAGCAGCTGAGCTCCACGTCGCTGAGCCTCCAAACGCGGCTGCTGGGCATCGACTCCCTCGCCGTGTTGACGCTCTGCCGGCAGCTGCGCTTGGCCGTGCCCAGCTTGTGCTTGAGACCCCAAGAGGTGCGAGGGTTCGAACACGAAGAGGAGGGAAGGGAGAAGAGGAAACGAGTTTGGAGGAGTTTGGCAGACTGGTTGAGACCTCACTGTTCAATGCTGTTCAGCCCAATCCCTTCTGTTCAAGAATCCTTCCACGACCCAACATTTCAGCCAATCATCCTCCAAGAGTGTGTGCCGGACCTCCATCATTCCATGGGGTCTCTCCATCCCAGACATCGCTTCATCAGGTCTTCGAATGCAGTTCAGTGGAGGATCTGCTCAACCTCGTGGATCTCCCAACGGCCGTGGACGCCGCCGGCTCGCCGGCGGAGTCGACGCCCACCGCCACACCGACCGCGGGCGACCTCGGGGTGCCGCGCACCGTGTGGTTTGCGCCCGGGCAGGCGGGGGAGAGAGCGAAGACGGCGAACGAAGACGGCGCAGACGCGTGTGGAGGGGTCCCTTGTCCGATCCGGTGTGGTCTTGGACGTTTGGTTTCAACGATCACACTGATCACACCGACCATTTCAGGGTGATCCGGCTCTCTGTTTGGAACTGACGGCCGCCCGTTGTGTGGACCTTTTGCGGGGCACGCGTTTTGGGGCGCCCCAAATGGATTGACCTTGGGATCGACCGTGGCCCCCCTGCCGAGGTGAATAGCACTTGCAAGTGGCTCTATGGATGTCGAGGTCTGCTGGACGAGCGCAGCTTCCGCCGGGCGGCCGCGAAGCTGCTGGCGCGGCACGAAGGCTTGCGGGCCGAGATGGCGAGCCCGGCCGGCATGGAGCTGCTGCGGTTTCTGCGCGACGTGGGGCCGCTGCACAGCGTGCTGTGGCCGAAGCTGGAGGTGTGGAGCGAGGAGAAGCTCCCGGGCCGAGCCACTGGCCTGGTGAGGAAGTGCAAGGAGCTGGTGTCGTCGAGCTTGAAGAATGTGTGGCCCAAGTCGGTGCCCATGAGACTCACCAAGGAGTTTCTGGAGGAACGAATTCGGGTGGTACAGTGCAGATCCTGGCGAGAGGTGGAGCCGCTTGGGAGCATCTAGGGGTGATTTCCTCAGTTTGCAGATGTTTTGCAGTGTCCTTCCTGCTTGGGGTACTGCAGGATTAAGACTTGTGACTTGTTGTTTGTGACGCTCCTAGCTAAAGCCTTGACCATGGCAAAAAAGTCTTCGAGTTTCCAGGAAAAGTCGAGAACCAGCAAGAATCCAAGAATCCATTCAAGTTCGCCTCACTTAACATCCAACTAGTCTCCCCCTCAACCGAGCTCCGAACGCCTCCAACCACCCGCCAAAGCCGCCGTGGCCGGTCCGGTCCGGTACCTCCAGCCCCGTCTCTCGCAAGTGAGGCAAGCCTCTCAGCAGCTGAGGGACGCCTTTCAGCCACCCATCGCCATCGGCCTCTTCCTGCTGCTCGGCAGCGGGTCGCGCGGCGACCCCCACGCGCCGCGGCCCGAGGACCGGGGGGCGCGTCTTCCGCGGGGGCGGCGCGACGCGCCGTCGCGGCGTGGGTGACACGGGTGCCCGGGAAGGGGTGGAAAGGGGTGAGAGTGACAGCCACCAACGAGAGCCTCAGCCCAATTTGGAGCCATATGGAGATGGGGCAAGATCAATCCGTACTCCAAAGATCTCCTGAGCTCCGGAGCTTTGACCCGTTTCGCGTGCCCAACGTCCACCTTCTTGGCGTGGCCAGGAGTGGGGTGCTCCCAGCAGCTTCTTGCAGTTTGTAGTCTCCCATGCGTACTCAGCTGGGTCGCCCAGATAAGAAGATCATTTTCAGGTTCTTTTGGTGTTCTCGAAACGATTTTGTATATATTAAAATCTAATATCCATGTGTGAGCCTTATACTTAATCCATACCTGGCACCAACAGCATCTTTGCATGTGGACTGCTTCTTGGAAGAGTTAGTTACGGAGACCTGCCATGGCGGACGCACTGAGTGTTGCATCACATGGCGCATGCGGAAGACCCACTGCACATGCATGCATTCCTGCTGCAGCAGGAACAGGGGTTCTTGAAAGCCTGTTTTTGGGACCAGAACATGCGAAACATGCAGCCTTTGGGGGAAATAGGCGGGACATCATGGAAACCGCCGACGCCACGACAGTAAGCTGGTCAAGTGTGCCGAGGATGGTTTCTGCAGCGTGCCGATGGTGCAAGACTTGTCTGCGCTTTATGCACAAGAAGAGGCCAGAATGACCTCACGCTTACAGTAGGATTGAATGGCAGCGAATATGCCCAATGCATCTCAATGCCAAGTATTTATGTTGTCGCTGTGCCGCACATTGTGCTTATGGAGATCTATCTGCTAGTCTTCTCTTGTACAGATGTTCGAGAAGAAGGACTTTTGCATCTCCCAGGAGTCACAAAGGGGTGGTTTTTAGTCCAGTTCGGCACCCCTTTGTGACTGCTGGTCCTTACTCTTTGCCCTGCATGCATACCGACCTCAAGAGTCACCGTCCTGCGGTGCTTCCAGGACCGACGACGAGGCCGCCGTCCGGTGCCCAGGAGTTCGCGGGCTTGCACTCCACTCGAAGGTGAGAGCCTCCAATCCAAGCACCATTCAGCAGAAGCAACCACTTGATCATCTCGTTTTCCGTCCTTTTGGCGGTCCGCCAGGGTGGGATGGACGTCCGTGCGTCACGCCGATCCGCCGATCCGCCCCCCCCAAACCCCTTCACGACTGGTCCAAAGTCTCTATTTGCATGTTCATGCTGGGGCAAGTTACGCCGAAGCTCGCAGGGGAATCTTCGTTGTCCTCGTTCCATCACTGGTCACGCTGGTCGTGAAGTTTTCCAATGCAGTGAAGGGCCGCAAGAATTCCGAGAATCATTGGCCATCCGCAGTTGCAGCTTCCTGAGGCTCTCAAATGCCAAGGCCTTAGCCATTTGGGCGGTTGGAGCCTTCCAAAGTCTTCCGAAAGAATTCTTCTGAAATGCAAGTAGGCCATTTAGTTGGGATAAACTATATCTTTACTGTAATTGCGACGATTTTCATGTTTCAGCTCTAGAAGCAGATTGGGCACAACCATGCATGACTGCATGACTCATTGGTGGGCGGCATGAGCGTAGGACATGAGCCTGCAGATAGACGAGCGCTGCGATTCTTTTGCTCAAGCAACTTGTGTGCAGTTTTTGCGCAGCCAGCGCCGAGGCAGCTTTGCATGGCCATGAAGCTTCTTTGCTCCTTCATTGCTTTTGCAGTAGCAGCCGCTGAGCCTACCCTGGAAGCTCTGGAGGTAGATGATGCATGTGCAGCCAATGGTGATTGCAGCCTCGAATTGAACCAGCTCCGTGGAATGAAAGTGAACTACCACGATGTTTTGATGGCTGAGGACGAGGATGAGGACATGGATGAGGAAGTGACGGATGAGGAGGGTGGAGTTGGTGGAGCATGCAGCAACCCAAAGGATATGGGAATTTGGAAAGGTGGAGGAAGAATGAGCTTCGATGGTGCTTTGAACCAGTGCGGCCGCTCTTGTGCTGCCGGTTTCCCTTGCACTCAGGGCTGCATGCAACAGAAGGGATACTCACAGGGATGCGCTGCTTGCATGGCTCATTTGGTGGAATGCTCCCGTGACAAGTGCATGAACCAGTGCATCAGCAATGACAAGAGCGCTGCCTGCACTGGCTGCGTGAAGAAAGGCTGCCGTCCCAGTATGAAGAAGTGCAGTGGCCTGAACGCTGGGGGCAA